GCATGGAGGAAGCTGAAATCAATTCAGGTTGCTGATTATATATCTTGAATGAAATACTATTAAACGCCTACTCGGGAATGCCAACGCAGGATCCGCGTACTGCTGTTGATAAATGTGGTCAATGTTAATAGTCACTTGGTAATCTGAGTATCCTGGCTTTCTCCGAACAATGAAAAGTGTGTCTATTTAATCTCAGAAGAAAGCGTACCGCACATTAGCAAACTCGCGAGAAAATTGGTTTTGTTTTTCATTTGAGAATCATTATACAATTTATAATTTTAGGCACACTTAATTTGTATCACATTTAGCATTTATATCTACTCTTTTCTCTTTTTCCCATCTTGTTGAATACTTGTTCGTTAATAAACCAAAAAAATGGTAAACAACCTGTGGTTTTCTCATTGGCATTTCGAAAAGCAGAAAGTCGGATATGCTCTTTAAACTAATTTTTACCCTGCACCAATACTGTTTGAATTTGTACCCTGTTTTATTGCTACGAAACAAGAGAAACAACTCTTTTTCTCATAATAAATGTTTTCGTTAGCGTGTGTACAGTGAAGTAATGTGCTTTACGTGCTGTTGTGAATTATTGAACACGAGTTTTAGTTGATTTTGAAACAAAAATCAATTTGATTACGTGCGGAAAATTTCAACTTTATTGAATTAAAACATTGCGAAGAGTATATAAAAAGATTGCGTAAAATTGCATTCCTAATTAACGATCCCATGGAAAAAAATTAAAAATACCTTTGTGAAAAGTATTAACCATTATTTTTCTATTTAGTTTTAGTCTTAGACTTTGGAAATTTTATCCCATTGAGTAAAACTAGCAAAGAGTATGCAAAATTGTTTCTAAAATATTGAAGTAAAGATTTCCGTTAAGTAAAATTTCGTTTAGTACCTGGTAATTTTTATGATTTATAATACATGTAATCATTAATTCAAGAAGTGAAGCTTTACAGTAAAAACATGTGCCGGTCGATTATTACCGAAATTGTATATCTTATCTCGTAAATCCTAGTGAATGATACTGTATTTACCACTCTTTGCGGAACGACCTCGTTGGCCATAAGCCAAGAGGATAGGTCAAGCCTTCCACTGACCGGCTGACACCCAAGTAAGTGGGAAATAACCTACAACCTTAATAGCGAATGTCCTAATGATTTCTTCGGTATTATTCCTCGCTTCTAGAATCTATGCAGCTCAACATGATGAAATACAATTTATATTTTTAATCTCATTGTCTAAAAGGTTTGCCATAATCATCTACGTATTGATATCAAGTTATTTGATGAATTATCAATTCATTTCCGAATCGGATTGTCCTATTATAAATAATTTAAAACTACAAGCACAGAGAGAGCTAATTCCATCTTTCAAGAAATTCTTTTCTCCATATTTATTTGAAGGTAGTCCTAGAGGACTGAACCCGAATTGCGTCGGCTTTTCCGACGAGTTTAGAAAATTTTTGCTTAAATGAAAACGACAGTCTTTTATAGAAATTGTTGGGAAACATTAGCGAATGGTATTATGAATTGCTTTCTCGAAGTCTACACAAAAAATAGTTGTCAATAGACAACTATTTTTTCATGATGTGCATGAACAATAAAAAGTAGTTTAAACATTTTTGGGCAACTATAAAATGTTCCATTATCAAAAATTGTACTTAACCCTTTCAGTCCCGCAATTAGGATAATACACAAAACATTATAATCGCTATTGAAAATAGGGTTTCTGGGGTCGCTGAATACGAATCCGGGGTCAGATTTGCAAAATATTAAAAATTCAAAATGGCAGATCCAATATGGCGGACGACTTTTTTAAAAAATGATCCAAATCACTTGAAACTTGTTACTCGGGGGTTTTTGGGGTTGCTGATTACGAATCTGCTATTAGTTTTCAAAAATATAGTATCTTACGTAGGATTTAACATAGGAATGAAAATTATATGAATTCCCATGTGATATCGTATGTTATTTCCCATGTAATTTTCTACATGAGATCTTATATAGGATCTCACGTCGTTTTTTGTATTAATGATACAGAATAGCACAGTTCATATACTCTCATATACAAAGTTTTCAAAATTATTTGTTTTAATGTTAATTGTGCTTAAAATTTTGTGCAAAGATTAAATAGTCTCCAGCAATTTTGTAAAAAGAAAAATATTAATTTGCTGAAAAAAAATTTCATAACATTACTTGTATTTTTCATCTTACCATAATTCTGAGAGTGGATAATTTCTATACATTACTCTCGTCATGTAAAATTGAAAGAATCTCTCAATTCCTCTATAATTTTAAACACTGGCATATAACTTTCTTCCGTCACGCATATTTAGCCTTTCAGGAGTCTCTATTCTTAAAATGAAAAAAAAATCACGTTGTCGCGTGTTTTCAAGATCACGAATGACTTTAAATAAAAATTTCTTTTTGATGTAATAGGCTAAACTTCCTTATTACATGTATGTATTCCATTATATGTTGTTATTCTTTTGTACATCATCTCAATAGGCGGCCAATGCTCGCAATTGTTTAGGACCATGAGAAAATAAAATGTATTTCGTAATATTCCCGTTGTCATACTCATTTATTCATAAATCATTTGTTTCGCTTTCTAAAAATGATTTCGTAATATTGATATAACAATAAAGAGGCGGAGGCGCGGTAAATTAATATAAAATAATTTACCGGTATTTTTTAAATAGTTTTAAATATTTCCTCCCTAATGGAGTGTTATTGCACTCCATTGGTATTACACTCCAATTGTTTAGTTTTAAGGAAACTTGCAGTGCAAGCTTGCGACAGTTTTATAGATTAGTTGAAATTAAATCTGGAGGGTAGCGAAAATACTGACACAAATAGTTGTAAACCAAAGAATTAATTTAAATAAATTTTTTTTGCCATTCAGGTCGAAAAACGGAATTAACAGTTCCCCAGACGTGGAAAGTTTATAAACAGTGAAAAAATAAAAAATCCGTCACACTTTCCGTTGATGTGCCTTGTCAGCTGAGTCATTATCATTTGCCTCAGTGACATAGTTGAGTAACCGGAGGAGATCTTATAGTTTTTTTTGCTCCGTTAACCTCGTCTCGTCACCTTTACGTCTGATCAATGATGGAATCACATTCAAGGTCAGATTATGGAGTGTTATTTGCAGAGTGTGTGTGATGCTAGTACTAGAGTAGAGCAGGACAGGTCACCGGACGCGACTTGTTTGCCACTATATAATTCCATTGAGGACGTCTACAATTCCAGCAAATTTTCCTTCTCTCTCTTCCTCTTGCTCGTCGTCCCGTTGCTAACTTTGAATCAATCAGAATGGAAGGCGTTGTGGAGTGCGCGCACACGTTACATGACGAAAGAAAATCATGTACGGAGACACCTTTAAGGTAATTTCTTTGTGTGTCCATATGTGCGCTCAAGTGCCCGCTAAAAAGAGTCCCACAGTCGAGACTTGTGCAAAAGCAAAGGAGTCGGTCAGATAACTGTAAGTCGCGGCCTCTGGACGACATCTTCCAATGTGGCCTGTGAGATTCTCCTTTTCTCATTTCCACTAAAGGCACTTGCGCCAGACAATTCTCCCTCCCACTCCGAATCCTTTTCCGACATCTAATTGTTCCCCTGGTGAGGAAAAAAAATTTTCCTTAATTAATGGAGCAACATTTTTTAAGAATTTAGATCGATTTGCTTATTAGAAATTAAATAATATTTTAATAAAACAAAATTTCCAAAAAATGTAAGACAGACTTTAGGGTCTTTATGTAATGTAAAAACTACACTGTAAAAAAAGGGAGTTAAATTTTAACTCCCCCGGGGGGTCTATAAAAGTCGCACCCATTGGGGAGTTAATGCCAGGGGAGTTAAATATCGAGAGTTAAAATTTAACACCCAAATGCTAACTCCCCATGAAAAAAATAACTCGCGCGGGTGTTGAATGAAGGGAGTTAGAAATTAACTCTCTTTTGGAGTTGATTTTTAACTCTAAAAATTTAACTCCCAACTCCCGAGTCCGTTAACTCCCTAAATTTTTTACAGTGTATTCAGGTAAAGTTCTGAGCTAATTTAATTATAAACTTTTAGTTAAATACTAAAGATTAGTGTTTAGAAACAGATAAAGTGCGACGTTTTTCCGTTCAGGCGTTGCTAATTTTTCAACTGAACATAATCAAACAGATCTGGAAAAATATTTCATAAATCTTCCAAAAAATGAGTCACAAACAAAAGCTTTCTAAGCAAAATTCTAAGCTATTGTAATAAATAATTTTTTTCAAACACTTGTCTGGACTTAAAAAGAAAACGATGATTCATAACAATTGTTTTCTTTCTCTTGAATTAAATTAATCTTCCGGCGAATTGGAAAATTTTACAAATTACAATTCAATGACTAATAAATTACAAAATTATTAAATTTTAAACAATTTTATTTTCTATTTTACTTTTATTTTCTATTATGTATTTCCTGTTTGAAATAATAATGAATATTTATTTTTAAATATTTAACGTAGTTCAAAACCTAGAAGTAATATTAAGTCCGCGCGGCAATAACGGAGTTATGAAAACAAAAACAAACGTTACTGTTCCGGTTTCTGATTACGAATTGTCTACTTCATGTATTTTACTAGAAAAATAACAAAATAGCAAAACCACTTTAAAAAAAAGTATCCCAATTTTTTTTCAAAAGGAATTTTTTGTTTCTCCAATATTGTAAATTTGGAGAATTTTGATGAAAATATATTTTTTTTAGAAATTTGGCTGAGAATGAAAATTTTAGGCCAGGGATTAATTATTTATGCACATATATTTATTTTTTTTTGAGGTAAAACCATTAGCATTTATATTCATATTCCGCGTGAAAGCAGGAAGTTAATGAACGGATAGTTTATTTAACCTGAAAAAACTTTTGTTTTTTTTAACTTAGATTAAGACACGTTTGCTTTTTTTTCTTTCGATTGAAATTGACAATTTTTTAAAATAAAAATTTCCTCTTTTTGTTTACAGATGCTAGTAGCATAAACACCGAAAGAATCAGACCTGCAAGAATAGAAAGGGATTTGGACGGTAAGCGACGAAAATTATAATGGCTTTTCAGCGTGTTCACCTTTGCACGCTATAATTGACGCGATTACAATTTTCTTTAACGCCACTATCACGAATACACATTCACACTTGAAAAAAAAGATTTAAAAAAATAAAATTGTGCTCGAACTTAACAATTGCAGCATGTCAAATTAGTCTTTTGTATATATAATCTATTTTTTCGTGAGCACAATTTTCATTTTTGTTTCTTCAATTTTTCACACTTCTTTCTCCTTTTCTCTCATTAAAAAAATATTGTAACATTTCATAAACATACTGTAATACTCTAATACTTTTTTTTCATTATTTTCATCAAATTCGCATTTAAAAAATAACAAATTGTAATTTTAATTCAAATTTTTTTTCATGCACTTGATTTCTCTCAATATTTCCCTATCAATTTCAATTTATCAATGCAACGTACGCAGAAATCTTGGGTCGCTAAAGACGTGGTCAAAAAAAACTTTCTTACCTTGCGGCGAGCAATGTAACAGTTTCGTGTTTACACAATACTTGTAAAAAAAAATTGAAAGTTCCACTTTCAAAAAAAGAGTTTTCACAAAGATTCGATAATTTTTTTTCTTCTTTAAAATTCAATGAATGAAAAATATTCTTTTAAGATTTCTGAGTTCGTTGCAAATATCACACATATGTTTGTATATAATTTTTTGGTTTTATTTCCAATCGGTTTGCCAATTCTTTTGAAATTCTAATTTTAAAAAAATACTTTAATGTGTTGACGCGATGTGCGGCGTGTAATAAATTTTTGATGAAACTTCTCTTTTGCCAATTTTTTTTTCTATGTCCGAAAGCCGGATATCCGTCTCTCCTGTGGCCTTGCCTCTTGATCGCTTTACTTTTCATTTATTATTATAGATATCAACAATCTCGAATATTTTCAACGCGGAAGTGAGAGAGGAACGTTAAAAAGTTGTATAAACTTGTACATATTGTATTTAAAAATTAAATTACTATCATCTCGTATAAATTACTGTGTCTTCAATTTTTTCATTTCCATTTCGAATTTTGAATTTAACACCAGTACTCGAAAAGGTTATTTCCAACTATAAAGTGAATTCATTTCTAAATAGTTTCCTTCTGCTGAATATTTTCAACAATTAAGTTATTTTAAGAAATTTTACTCTTGTAAATAATGAGAAATGTTAAAATAATTAATATGTTAACAAATTTATGGTAAATTTTTGAAAATTAAAAAATTGAAAATTGCTCAAGGGGAAAAATAAATCAATTTCATAAATTCAAATTGTAGCGACTGGAAAAAAGGGAAATAATTGAGTCGAAATTAATAGAATAATAAAAGTGAGTCTTAAAAACATTTTACGACAAGAAAAAAAAGGTGGTAAAGATAATTCAGCAGTAGGAGTTTATTCACCTGTCTCTTTACTGTCTTTCTCTTTCTCTCTCTTGCCTGTACATTTATTGCACTATTTTATGCTATTGCCTGCAAAACAAAAAAATACTCTCTCAACTAATAAGGTTTTGATGAATGAATAATGCAATGAATCATTTACGCATCTGAGGCAGGGTTTCGCGGCACAGGGATTTTAAAGCTTCAAAAAAATGTATAGAAAGCTCGTCTACTAAGACGTCTCTCTCTTTTTTTCTGTTTCTGTTACTGTTCCCGTCTGCTCCTCGCCTTCAACTTCTTCACAACAACTGGATGCCGTCTGCCTCCAACGTCCGTCCGCCACTCCGTCTCTCCAACGACATACGCTAATTTTCAAAATCTGTAAATATCTATCGACAATTACGGTAATACTCTCATTAACCATTGAAAACAATTTCTAAAACATGACTGTGACACTGACTGATAAATTATATTCCCAAATATGTATAAATCTGAAAAAAAACTTTATTCCATTTTTTTACAATTGCGACACAAATTTTTTTTACACATTGTTTTTTTTTGGTATTTTTTATTTCTTTTTCAAAAACAAGGAGTGACAACTGTTTTGTTAGTTCCCGCCCGACCTGGAAAATCGATTCCCCCCGTAGGTCTTCTAACCAAAACGGCAAGAACTTTTGTGCAAGATGGTGCTAGCACTGAGTATGCAACACAGGTGCTTGGCACGACTCTCGACAATGGTCGTCTTTACGCAAGAATTTTGTCAACTTCGAGCAGAATTTTTTACGATAGAGAACCAAATCCAGACCCCTCGAGTGCATATTTGGTTTATCCTTCAAGATCACCACAGGAAGATCTTAAAGTATCGTTGGAAAATGCCCCGATCAGTGTGATTGAGAGGTTGGAGACATCCGCGAGTCATTCGGTATCCGAAGGAAAAACGGAGGAGAAAAATAATCTCAGTGAGAACGATGTTTTAGGAAGACATGATTTAAGTGAGGATTCGCAAATTTTCAAACCCGCCAAAGTTCGTCCAGCTGATGATCTTCCGACGTACACTGTCAAGCAGGAATACGTCTCAAGAATTGCTTCCGAGAATATTGACGATGATCAACAAAAGAATTTCCGTCCTAGAGCGCCTAAGATTTTCAAAACACCACCAAAGGTGTCAGCGAAAAAACCCGATCCCAAATCATTGTCGACAGTGACATATCACGGTTTTGCGGATTTCACGACAACTGTCGGTGACACTGTCATTGTTTTCTCACCGAGTACTGCTCCGGCTCCGGTTGGACGACCCGCGACGACAATCAAGGGTGACGCTACCCTGAGACCAGATGATGGAATCGCGGTCCTGAAAATCCGACCTACGAACGTCCTTGGTCAGAGGAAGACGGAATTGACCCAGAATAGGAATCGTCCTCAGGGATTTCCGCCTAGAAACCTAGGCGCCAAGAGTAATGAGGACATCTTTACTTTACAACCCAGTGTCGTCGGTGATTCGGACTCGGGTCTCATCGAACCGACATCTCCCCTTCTACTTGACTTCCAAACCAATTCCCTAAAACCGACCGGACTGATAAAAGTCATCGACTCCACGACTTCCCTCGATGGAACCACAACTCACTACAAGAGTTCTATTTACGGAACATATGTCGGAACAAACTATGCTCAGATTGTGCACACCTCTTCTAATGTCTACTATTTCCCTGATGAATCCAGTGCTGGATTCGATGAGAGCACCACCCACTTTGCGACAACCGAGACCGACACTGAGGAATATGCTTCAACCACCGAGGACGGCTTGACAACTTTCGTTCAAGAAACCACCGAAAACGTACCCACAACTCACAGGTTCCGACTAAGGGGTTCTGCGAGACTAAGACCAAAATTACGACCCGCAAAACCTGTGACTACTACACCTGCATCAACGGATGACGACACTGCGAATGCTATTGTCCCCCTAGACCCCCAGGGCAGGAGTATCAAGCACGGAGCCGAACGGAATCAACTAAACTTGGGGAAGAATCTAACCACCAAAGCTGCGAATGAAAAAGTCTCACTGACTACCAGATTGCTTCCCTCAACAATCTTCAAGACCTTCACATTTTTCACGACCTTCTTCATTCCCGGAAAGAATGATCAAACAACCACCTCTGTGAAGACTCGAGAGGCCGTGTCATCAGAAGTCACGTACTTGACCGAACTGATCCAACCAACCGCTACTCAAGTAGGAGCAACTTCGGCAACTTCCATTACGAAAATCCTGGAAAACTCATCCATCCAGAAGCAGGAGGACCAAGAAATAGAGTTGATATTCAAAACCCTGTATACCACTTACACTTATTTGACCACCTTCTTCCAGGAGAGTACCTCAAGTGTCTCTAGTCGCGAAGTCGTTGAAACGAACATAATCACCCAAACTTTGGGTCCAAACGGAGCTTCTGTCGACATCAGCGGTTTGTTTGACGATTCCGAGTCTATTTTCATAGCCCCTACTCGGGTCGCAGGTCAACCTTTATCAACCAAAGCTGTGAAACTAAATAGAATCACTACCGAAAATCCTATTTCAACCACAGATTCAGAGGATACGCTTACCACCGTAATGGATGATGTGACAACTCCCAATGATATTCTATCCCAACTAGAACCCAGTGAGGTTGCAGCAGCCAGCACAAAATCCTACGAAGAAGTCGAGAAAACCTACTATACCACCTATACCTACTTCACAACCATTTTTGTAGAAGATGAAACCGAGATCGAGACCAGAACCGAAGTATTCACAAACGTCGTGACCGAGAAGATACAACCGACGTCTGTTCAAGTCGCCCCATCGAGTGCAAAACCGGTCCCACCTCCTGAAATCGTAGCCTACTTGGAAGCACTAAAACGCCAAAAATCTCAAGAAGAAGCTTTGAAGATAGCCAAGAAGTCTCAGGAGGACGCAGTCGAAAAGGAAAAAAACCATTCACCTAAAAAAGAGGAAGCTGTTCAAAAGTTAAAAATTGAAGAAGAGAATGTCACTACAAAAACCAGTATCGATTATCTCACCACTGAAGGAGTAACCGATTTGGATACGGATATTCCCACCACGTTCGAGATTAGAACAACCACGGAACAAATGCATGTGAAGCCAAATTCACCTGTGGATGGCGAAGTATTGGGATCTATGATAACAGACGTGGTATCATCCTCTAGTTCCGGAGGTGGTACTTTCTTGGACGTGGCTGAAAGAAGAAACATCGTCCCAGAGGATCAGGAACTTTCGGAATCAAATCACCACGAAGTTGAACCAGTTCCGACTCTTTTGTTACAGACAAGTTACACCACTTTCACATACTTTACGACCATGTACAAGGGTGACGAATCTACTGTCGCCAGTCGATTGGAAACTGTCACAAATGTCGTCACCGAGACTATAAAACCAACACTTGTACTTCCCGCCGAGAGTAGCACAGTGCCAGTCACTTATTTCACAACCTTCACCTACTGGACGACTTTCTACAAAGGTGGAGACACAATCACCACTAGTCGCGAGGAAACTGTTAGCAATATCGTAGAACCAGGAGTTGCCCCAACACCAACCGTTGCACTCGGTTCGGTCATGACATACAGACCGGATATTTCTGATTCTCCCGCTTATCAAAATATTGACAACGAAAAAGTTACGGCTGATAATGAAGTAGGATCATTTGTCCCAGTCTTTTCGGAGAAAACCAGTAAACTGAAATTAGACAATACTTGGAACGGAATTGAGAAAGGTAAAGATAGTGCAAGTTCGGTAGAACCACTGGCCTCATCGGTTGCTTTAGATCCGACAACATTTTACACGACCTACACCTATTTTACCACCTCCTATGTGGGTGAATCTACTGTTCTGAATAGCAGATTAGAAACCGTTACCAGTGTTTACTATCCCGAAGATGCTGCAAATGTTGCCACTGGTCGAGCGATTGGAGGTGCCATACCAACCGTTCAAGTTCTCGGAACAAGTGAAAAGGCCCTAAACGAAATTGCTCCTTCGAAAGTTAGCCAGGTATCCAAGACCGGATTATTGTCAACAGTTAGATCAAGTCAGGTAGAAGATGGAACTACAACTCATTATCTAACCGACGTATATGGCACGTACATCGATGGTTTATACGCACAGGTCGAAAAAAGTTCTACTAAATTGGAAACTAATTCTGCAACTGCAACCCCTGTTCTACCCACTGGAGTTCTTTCGCTCAACAAAGGTAGCATTGTTGATGCGGATAAAGTATCAACCGTTTTCTTCACCACGAAACTAATTGGAACACTAATTGATGGTCTTTATGCTAAGGTGATTGAGAGTACTTCTAGTACGAAGATTGATGAAGGTAAATTAGCAACCCATTCTCCAGTTCATGGACACCGGACTGGTTTAGTGAGGCTTATTCAAGGAAATATTGTAGCTAATGGTACATCCGTGTTTTATGAATCGAAAGTCATTGGTACGAGCATTGAGGGTAGATACGCTCAGATTATTGAAAGTACATCCAGTTATCTAACAAGTCCAACTGCTGGTCTTAATTTGGCACCTACTGCGACTTTCAAAGCTAATCACGCAACAGGAATTCCTGATATTTCACCATCACCGGCTGCTATTCAGTCATCTTTGTCAGAGGATCCGACTTCTAACAACGAAGACGATAATCAAGAAGGAGAGGAAGAAGGCGAAGAGGGAGAAGATGATGAGGAGGACGAGGATGGACAGAAGAACACTAAAAAATCCCGATTAACGTTCTCGAGCAGAAAAAGAACATTCACTCCTGTTATTCGACCATTTGCTTCAAGGAACAGACCTACTTTTAATCCAAAACGTAAAAATGCTCAAGGAGCTACAACAATTACAAGAACTGATGTAACACCTACTGTCACAGCAACATTGGCAGGTAAAGGAAACCGTTATGCGTCCTCCAGGGTGAGAGTAACTTCACCAATTGGTCCTTATTCATCTACTTTGTCTCCATCAAATTCGAGAAGATTTGCTGGCAGAAGAATTTCACCAACTAGTTCATTGGCCAGTTCGGGTGTTCCTGCAGGAAGTACACGTGGTAGAGCTCAGTCGAGAATAACTCCTTCGTCGTCATTTTCTGTGAATCGAAGAGGACCGTCTTCGATACGAGGCTCTTCAGCCAGACCAGCATCTAGAATAGCATCGAGTTCCGTCTTCCCGGGAGCCTCCAGCAGATATCGACCTGGAATTCGACCATCTTCGACAATAGCCAAAGTAACGCCTACGGTTCGTCAAGATGATCAGGAAGATAATGCGAATGAATTCACTGCTACAACTTTGGTGACTGAGGAAACTCCGTACACTATTGTAGATGAGGAATTAACAACTTTGCAAACCACTACCGAATCACCAAGAAGATCGACAAATCCTTTACTTAGATTCCGTAGCAGACCGCTTTTAGGTAACGTGACACCTAGAGGAACAACCACACCTCGATCTACAACACCAGCTGCTCCAAGAAGACCTAACAATCTCACTCGACAAAATGGTGTAGTAAGTCGTGCAAGGGCGAACGTTAGACCTACAACTCCTCTACCACCCACGAGACCAAGACAAGGACAAACTGGTCTTTTTCCTCCAAGAGGACTTTTCGGCAAAAAACCCGAACCAACTGAGGAAGTCACCGAAAGCGTAATTGAAACACCTGAAGGTGAACATACCCCACATTTAGAAGATGTCCCAGTCGAAGAAATAGCAGACAACGATTACGAAGGATCAGAACATGAAGAAACAGCACCAGCTCGTAATTCTTCCAGAACAGGAAAGTCATTCAAACAATCTGTTCAAATTAGACCTTTCGGCTACGGCAGAAGAAGAGTCCGACGACAAGCGAGTCAGTTAAGAGCATACAGTAATCGAGCACGAAAACCTTCATCACAATCCTCTAGTTATCTGGAAGACAAAATTGATTCTGATGTAGCCTCAAGTGACGAAGACTTCTCTAAGAGCAATTCCAAATACAACGCCAAATATGCAAGTCGTGGTAGATCATTAAATGCTCCAAGACCCAGTAGTACAACTGGAAAAAAAGCGATTGGAAACACTGACAATTCTGATTCTTCTGAAGTGAACAATCTCCGTTCTCGAACAAAGCCAACTGCTAATCGGGGAACATCACCCCGAGTAAAACCCTCACCGGTATCAGGACTTTCTAGACAATTCACCTTAAGGGAGAAAGATACAGGTACAACTAGATCTAGTTATAAAAGACCGACGACAACAGGAACTCGTAGAGTAGACACCAGACCAAGAACTAGTTCCAGGTTGAGAGGAAGCAGTAGGGATTCATCAAGAAGACTTTCCAGTTCAAGATCATCATCACGGAATTCAGGAAGAAATAGCAATAGACGATTGCCCTCTAGGTCCAGAGGAGGACCACATGAGGATTTCAGAGAAGCTGGATTCGTCTATCCGGAGACTGACGGAACCATCACTGTTACTCACTACGTGCCTGTGGACGTGACCATTCCATATGTAACTAATGGAATAACCGAGAAACGAAACATCATTACTGCCCAGCCAAGTACACAGATTTTAGCCCCGGAATCATACAGCACAGTTCTTAGTGGTGACGGCAATCCGTTAGTTGTCATAAACTCCCAAAACACTGGAACCAATGCACAGGGTCAAGTTGAAGTCACCCGCTTCTTATTGCACGAAAAGCCAACAACCAGAGTGTCCTATACTCTAACAACTTTAGGAGGTCGTAGGGCATCACAGTCCGTAATCATACCCTCCACCATTTATTCAGTAGAAAACATCATTTCTACCGTTCAACCTTCCCTTCCCGGTGCAAATTCCCCCTTGGCAAATATTTTACTGTCGCAATTACTTCTGGGTCAATTGGGTCAACAAAATCCATTGCTGGGTGGCATGACAACACCTGCAACTCCAACCACACGGTTTGACACGCGCACCACGACTTACGTGACAACCATTACAAAACTACAAAGTACAATCATTCCCTTAACATTCCGAGGGAAGGAAATTTTGACCACGCTAGTTGAATCTTCCTCTGATGTCGTCACAGCAACAGAATTCATAACAGACACGGTTGTAGTAACACCAACAGCCGCGATCCCGCAAGCAAATCTAAACTCTCTGCTATATCTTCTTCAACAACCTCAAAATCCACAACAACCGAATCCCCTACTGGACCCACTTTTTGCAGCAGCTCCTGCATCACAGAGCAATACACTACCGGGAGAGGTCGAGCGAAGAAATCAACCAGTCGATGCCGATTATAAATCAGAGAATTATGACGATTCATCAGAAGAAGAAACGGAAACAAAATCACGTCGCTATAAAGGCTCAAGCAAATCAGGCAAAAAGGACACTGTCTCTCCAGCTACTCCCGAATCAAGTGTAGTGACCCTGTACGTTTCTGGTCGTCGACCTGGAGAGTTTAGCACCGTTCTCAGTACTGTCAAAGTTGGCGAAGAGACAACGACTCCAAGAAGAAGGAGGGACATTGAAATACAAGTAGAACCATCAGCACCACCAAGTCTACAGAGACTTTCCGAATCCGAGGGTTACATCTTGTCGGGAAGCGAGGAGCCAGCAAATCCACATGCCCCGACTCAAAGTCTCGAGAGTGTAGTGGGTGACGTCGGACGGCACATTTCCACGTCCATTTACACCTAAAACCCATCATCCTTAGCCATACATTTACATTTTCCTTTTCATCCTCAAATTCATCATAAACTTATCCTCGCTCAATCATTGTTGATCAACTTTTGTACAATTAATTATTTCCTCTAAGCGATCATTCGCCGTAAAATGCGAATGATTTCTAATTTAGAATATGGGCGTTAACTATTTAAAATAATCTAATAAACGCCAAAGTTTTTAAAAAGTAGAATTTGAAATATTCACTGGAAGATTTCTTAACGAAGAGAGATAAGAACAGCATAGAGTTCACTAAATCCCGTGAACATCAATGTTTCATTCCCAAATAATTTTTACAATTAAGTTTCAGTAGATGATTCGTATAGCTCCTTTCTTATAAGTTCTATCTCTCTTTACTCTTTCTCTCACTCTTTCACTCACTCTCTCTTGAGTCTCTTCGTTTTTCCCGATTTCCTTTTCATTGTCAAAAATCCCACGTTCCACGCTAACAATCTTGGGATATTGTAACCAATATTATTACCACCGCCGCACGCGCGCCAACACTACAAGCTCTCAGACACTATCTAAATTTTTAAGTCTACGATAAAAATTAAAAAGGTGCCTTATTTGAGAAAATTATGACAGACTCTGACAATTTTCATCTGTCGATCAAGAAGAAAATGGTTTAATACCAGACCGTTTCAGGTGATTATCAATATGAACTGGATGATAGAGAGAAGTACAATCGCTATCAAGAGAACAGCTTCGCGCAAGATAAAAAACTCCCCAACGATCCGACTAATTCTTTTGGTGTGAGAGTACAGGATTCTGATGATTATGAAAAATTGACAGACGAGAGACAACGAAAACGTGTACGTATCAGGGTTCCTGTTGTGCGAAGCAGAAATGGAAAACAATTTGCGAGAACTGTCGTGAGACGAAGACCGATTGCCCCCTACACGAGGAGTGTTGCACCACTTGAAGTCAGTTCACACTCACCTAGAAGAATTGTCGTCACTCGGGTTCGTCCACGCGGACCTGCCCACACTCCCGGTTATGCTAATGAACTGACAAATGTGGACTACCAATCGTATGAGAACGTTAGACAGAATTCCGACTATGGAACACATGATAATTATCGTCCATCTGATTTTGATGAACAATTTGACGATTTAGAGAAGCGGAAGGAATTTCAACCCTCCGAATTTGGAAGACACAAGGTGACGATTACTAGAAGGAGGAAAATTTCACCCGCTACCGCGTCGGTATTCCAGCGTGAAAGGGTGACCCGGAAGAAACTCGTATCTGTACGACCAATACCACAACCGTCACCAACATTAGCTATCATCACCACTGGATTCTTTACCATACCGTCTGAGGATGATGAGGAGGAAGAGTATTCTGATGAAGAAGATGAAACCCCAATTGACGAACTTCGTCATTTCACACCTAAACTTCATGACACTCCGAATATAATTGAAAACAAACCATTAATCAATAAGGATATTCCAGAAATTTCCAAAATTGAAGACTCTGATAAACCGATTATAATTACCGATAATTTTTTCTTTCCGGTTTTCCAAGATGATGATGATGATGATGATGATGATGAAGGTTATGATGGTGACGTTGATGATGATGATAATGATAGTGATGTTGGTGCTAGGGATGATCGTACTAAAATTGCAGATGTTCCCAATAAAGCTTTCTCTAAGGATGAGCCTAATGATGATACTAGGACTGTTTCTGAAAATTCTAATAAGCAAACCGATCATTCAAAAATGATGGATGATGATAAGGATAGGGATAATGCTGGAAAGAATGAAAGAGAAGAAAATTCTACCAGTCAGGATAGAAAGACATCAGAAAAGGCTGATGCTAAAGAGGATACCAAAATTGCCATTGATAAAGACAAAAGTACTGGAGCTGGTGTTGTAGAAACAGATCATGTTGTAACTGAAGATGGAAGTATATCTAAGACTTATTATGGTACAACTGATACAGCTACTGATAGGTATACTACAAAAGTAGATGAAGCAACAGAATCACCACCTACAACAACAGCACCAACTACAACACCAACACCTGAAGAAAATTTGTATCCAACAACCAGTGAACCACCACCAACAACCAGTGAAGTTACTGAAAATTCCTCAAAAGACGTTCAATCAGAGGTCAGAACAGAATCCACCCAAATTGATGATTCAAAATCCGAAACTGAATCCACTCCACTGGAAACAACTGAATCAACAACCACTGAGCAAACAAGTGCTTCTATCAAAGATCTTCCTGAAGTTACCGACCAACCAACATCAACAGACATCGAACCATCAAGTCCACAACCGAAAGTAATTGCCGACACTTCTTCCACTCCCAAAACCACTGAAGACTCCCTAACAGTCAAACCCCTAGAAACTTTCGTTCAACAAGAAGAACCATCAACCCCATCAGTAGATCCATCACCACAAACCGAAACCGGCTACTTCACCGACTTTGATGATGCCGACATACCAAGTGTCATTCCACTCGACACTGAATACATTCTCGAAAGTAGTCAAACAATAATTTCCAGTCACGAAAAATCGCGTTCAATTGCCCAAGTGACAACAACATTCACATCACCAACTCCCGAAGATATCGAAGCCGGTCTAGCTGATGATTTATATCTATCTCTATCACGTCCTGATTTTCCCGAAATTCTACCATCAAAGCCACTTTTCGATTCAGTTTCACCAACATCTGATCATTCGGGTTCAGTAATTCCAACACCTGCATTGAAAACAAGTGTCTATTACACCGAGACAATTGTGACATCGACGAGATTGAGAACATACACTTATGTTGTTACAAAATTGAACGGACTCGAGACTGAGGTGACTTCATCGACGACAGTAAGACCCAGAGTAACGACATTGACACTGACAGTTCCCATTACAGTGACAGTGACACCCACCGCGGAATTGACATCGAGCCTCGCGCCATCAGATAATAATCCAGAAATTGTTACTGGTGAGTACATTTCAAGTCCTGAGTCAGCAAAATAACATCACAGATTATGATTCATCAATTTAAGTTTTTGTCAATCACTGGAATTGGAACATTTTATTGAATCAATGTTCAATAAAATGTTCTCTCATCAACGATCTCAATCATTTTTTGCAAAGTTATTTTGCTACCAAAAAAGTATTTAAATGATTAAGACAATAAATTATTGCTTCTTAATTTTTCCTGATCGATTAGAATTGTCTAATAAAAATGGTGAAATTGACAGTTTCCAAAATTGTAAATTGTAAAAGTTATTTACAACCTAAGCTTTTTCTATTCCTCTTCTCTTCTATATTTCTATTTTTATTTTCTGTACATAAACTTATTTTATGAAACACTTCTGTTCTTTTGTACATATTGTCGAGAAGACAATTTCATTCAAATTTGCAACTTTGGAAACTTTCGATCTCCTATTTTCCCCTTTAATTTTAGAGTAACGGATATTCAAGATTTGAACGAAATAAGAATATCCGTTACTGTTAGAAAATGCCCTTAATTATTAAAAAAAAAATTGTAAAACTGTGTATAAATTGTACATACAAAAGGCAAACCGTTGTATATATACTTTTTCTGATATTTCAGAATTACTATAAAAAATCTAATCTAATTCTTTCTGATGAATCAAGTATAATCAAAAATAAAATCTTTTCACTTTAAGTTTTTTATTTTTGTTTTAAATTTTTAATTAGCAGATTAACAGAATAAGGTGGGTAGATTATAAAATTGCAATTAGGAATAATTAAAAATTTTTTTCGCCATTATCTCTTAGTGAATATAATATTACCATACATAAAAATTTTTATTGTGATTTTGATCGTAAATTAAAAATGAACGACAGAATACACCGGAAAGGAAGATGATGGTGGTTCTGAAGGGGAAGGACGAAAATTTAATCTCGCGACAAGAGTTATGTCGAATGGTGTCGAGGTCATCGTTGCGGGTCCAACTCCTGCTTTAAGGTGGGAGAATTCAAATTCTCAGCCAACTTTAACATTATCAGATGCTGTTGTCATGCTTCTTCCACAAGAAAAGCCAAATGAGTTTGTTACCAAAACTTGCACAACGACCTTTACGTATCTGAGTACAATCACAAAAGACGGTGTCACAATCGTCTCTACTGATCAGCAGGTAAATTTCAAAGACCTTTTTCCTATCCTTTAGAACTTTATCGTTTGGAATGTAATTTAAAACTTAGTCATAAATAAAAATATAAATAAATATAAAACATTTTTGTGATATTAAACTTAATTAATAAAATTTGACAACTCGATTTAATGGTGATGAAATTAAATTTAATATGATTTATGACAACTTAATTTGCAGGTTGTTGCTAATACGGCTACGGAGGAACGTCACCGGAAGCCAGCCTCCGAAGCTGCTGCTTATACATTAGAGGCTTCACCTACTTTAGAAACTGAAGTTTTTAAAACGACCTATACGTATCTGACACTAAATACGGATCATCCAGATGAGAAAAATGCTCTAGAGAGTAGCGTAAGAGTTATTACGAATACAGTTACTGCTCCTAAATACTACTTAGATATGATACTAGAACCCTCGGAGGCGCCAAGGCCGGAAACAAACACTTATTTGAGCACCCGAGTCCTAGAAAAGACAATTACTGAAGATGGTAGAACGAGAATTCAATCGACAAGTGATACTGTCACTCAGGTACGTTTCCTAATCAGTAATTTTGAATATCTGGGAGGAAAAGAAGCCAATTCCCTTTAAGAACAATTAAATTACACGCATATTATTTCTTCCTTATATTAAGGAATTTAATAATTTTCAATTTAATTAATTTTCGAGAATAAAATGAATATTAAATTAGGAAAAGTTTTTCAAACGAATTCAATTAAACTGTTCGTATATAGAACATTTGAAAGATTCACGAACTGAAAACCCCCATTTTGCCTCTTCTCCCCTATTGCTATCGTTCTATAAGCGAAAGGCTCTCGTATCTTCGAGAATAAGTAGGTGATGACCTTTGCCATTCGTATAGAAAGTGACTGATGTTTATTAGGTATTTACTCGCTTTTCAGCTTATAATAACAGAGTCGGCACCACCGCCTCGACCTATCAGCGTTGAAACCACACTGACGGCACTCGATGAAAATGAAAGTCCATCGCCAGATATAACCAAGACCTACTATATCACTTACACTTATTTTAATACCTTTTTGGAAAAGGATAGTACAGTAATTAAAACAAATGTCGCCACATCAACTGATTACGTCCTGGAAAAAGCGCCAAAGAAAACGTCTATTAAATTAGTTCCCGCTAATCAAACACCAGATCCAATTCAAATTTACGCAACTAAAACTTATTTGACAACGTTTACTTATTTCACAACACTTCTTCAGGTAATGAATACTAATTTAACTAAAGACATAATTTCAAATTCAATTTTCCAAATTTTAAGTACTGAAATATTCTAGGAAGTGAAATTTCCAGTCTGATGATTTTATCGATAATAACAAATTTTAGCTATACTTTTAGCTATAAAAAATGCCTTGATGAGAATTCATCGAGTAACTTTCTTTTTTCTTGTTTTTCAGGCGGGTCTAGACGGAAAAACTGCCACGACAATTTCCTCACGATCTCAAATCGTGGAGAATGTTGTCACTGAATCAATTGCGCCAAGTTTACTCGAAGCTGGATACATGAATGCTCTTTTAACAACGTCACAACATTCTGATCCGGTAAATAATGTCGTGACTGGATCGACAATTATCTTTTTCGACGACGATGAACAAACTCAACCCACTAGTACCAGTTTACAAGACACGCTTGCAACAGCAAGTCATGAAAATCCTGTTCAAGTTCCCGAAAGTTCGGAAATTCTTTCTTCTAACGTTCACAGTAATTCCGAGTCCGAAGAATCGATATCTCCCGAAGAGCAAGAATCTTCGATTCAGGTTTGAATTTCTATTTTTTATTTTAATTAATTGCAATTACAGTGGAAAATGATTAATGTCCGGATAATTAAAATAGGAAGAAATCGTGCCACCTGAAAATGTAGATGACTCGGATCAAAATAAACGACCTACGGTTCTAAACTCTGATCTACAAGTGAGCAATCTTCTGAACTTGGGATCGCTGGGAATTAATAGTCTTTCAGCGCTGGGACCAGTCATTACAGCAATGGCGGGATTATTACAAGGAAAAACGGCTAATCGGAGAAATGATACATCACCAATACCTCCTGGCTCTGTACCAGTTTCTGAAGCACCAGACACAACAACTCTTAGATCACCGATTTACATCCCAGTCGCGGATTTTGCTGACGGTGACATTGAAACAGCTGAAAGTCAAAACGTCGGTAAGTAATCTATTTTATTCTTAAAAATTCATTTTCGATGGGAAATAAATGAGAATTTCTTTATAGCTCACATACTAAATGTGAACCACAATCATATTCCGGAAACTCGGCACAAGGTAACTGCTAGTCTAGCGGACGGAATTCCGATATCTCCAGGAGAGGTGATAACAGCAAATAGTGACGTGATAATCGGCAAGCCGGGCAAAATGGGACCGAGACCACCGGAAAAATTTCTGAACGATGACGAACATATTGGCATGAAACCTCCGCCTATGTCGGTTCCGAATATTCCAGTACATCCAGTACTGGAGGTAGTGGAAGATAATCGAGATAACTTTAAACACAAAGAAATTTCGCACATTGGAAACATTCCTCTGGAAATTATCCCCGCGCATCAGATTTATGAGGAGCACATCAAAGTTCCGATTAGATATCCACTGAATCCACCAAAACGACCTCATCCTCTTCAACCACTGCTTCCTCCACCAAAGAGAATCAGCTCGAAGCATGATATTCTAGAAAATGATCCACTCCTACGACCTCCTGAGAGACCAATTGAAAAGTACCCACAAAAGTCTGAAAATGATAGTCCCAAGTATCCATGGAATCCTAAGGAACCATTGACACCATCTATGCCAACATCTGTTAATAAGGTATTTCGAAATAATTTTATTTCCTAAAACTAGTTTTTCCCTATTAAGAAAAGAATTTTTCTAACATGGTAATTTTTACAGATGCAGACGGATTCTTCAAAAACGAAAAGTTGGATTGAGGACCATCAGTCTTGGCCTCAGGACAAATTATATTTAAAGCCTTCGGAGTTCTCTCAAAATTCGGACTCAAGTCTGTCATTGACGGAACCGATTGTTCATCAAGTGCCTCATGTAATAGACCGAGGAACAGGACAACCTTTACTTGTCAATCTTCAACCAAGTCAGGTAGCGAACGTTGTAATTCCACAAGGCGGTACTCAAGCACTCATCTTCGGAGACACCAACGAACCCCACATCAGTGGGCAATACTTTGATGATCCCTCTCCTTATCCGGAATCCGAAGTTGGACCCACTTTTACATCCATATCGAAGGTATGGTTGTATGCTTAATTATTATTAATTAGCCTTAATGCTCAGATGTTTTTTGTTAGTAGTAAGTATTTACCAGCTATGAATTTTTCAGGGAGAAAATATACAATACCCAACGGATGAGGTGAACTATATGATACCACCTCCACCGAAGAATTACAAACCAGTGACTATAAAACCGGGTAATACAAAAAAGCCTCATGTGATTCCCCTCTCACAGACTCATGGTCATCAGGATTATATAAAACCTCACGGAACTTCAATTTTACGACCGGTGGAGCGCTATCCTGTTCGTCGTCCCGAAGTTCCAGGCACACCAGCAGGTCAAGGACATGTCCATACGGAAATATTGGTCCATCACAAACCGGAAAGTGTCAATCTACGACCTCAACCTGTATCCCATCGGCCTCATCCGTTCCCGATTCAACAATTACCACCTAGACGGGACTTTAACAAAGTTAAGAAACCAATAGAAATTACACCACCTAGAAGAACGGAGGTATCGTTGCCAACCGAAAAACCACAGGAGTTTGCTCCTTCCACAAATTTAGATACTGGTAACGAAGTATCTGGTAACAAGAATTGGAAGCTGAATCAAAAACCCCTTCGAACTTCCCTAACTAGGCGACCTAGACCAACGTTTAAGCCCCGCTACCCAACGAGAGGACGACCTGTAATTAAAAAACCTCCCTATATTACTAATCAACGATTGCCGTTAAAACCCCCAACTAATGTAGATCAATCAAATAGTTTCGCCAATACACAAATTTTGAATACTTCCGTTGAAAAACAGAAAATCGACTTCCCTTACAATATTGTCCCGAACAACGAACATTCCATGAACATCGATAACTCTCAGATCAATCAGCAGAATACGGTACCAAATTTCTTCGCTAATGGTGAGAAACCAGGGGCAACGAATTCCCAGACAGAGAGAACTGATGAGTACATACCGACCGGTGCAGTGGAATATAAAAATCCGTCCTCTGAACAGCAGATAAAAAATACTGGAAACCAGTATTATGCGCCTTATAACGGAGAGGAGTCAAATAAACCGGTATCCGATTCCGAATCTGCTGATTCTGATCCTGTTAAGTTTGCAACTCCGATTGAATTCGATAAGGGACAATCGGAAACTTCGATGGATTCCTCGAACAACGAAGATAAGACGAATCGAAATCAGAACGTCTACAAGAAACCCCAGGAAGTTAACGAAAAACCCGTTGACTCTAATTCCCATGTTGTTTTCCAATATCCTAGTATCAACAACGGTCACGATCTTCGAAATCAGTATGGAGTTAGACCCTACGATATGCCCATAATTCAAGGAAAACCGTTCGGAGTCTACGGTGTGAAGAATCACGATAATAGAGCACCAATTTACGGAAACGTTCAAGGAAGCTTCTCCTATGCGGGATCGAAAGGACACGATGACACAATTGATTTAAAACCACCAGCAATTATACCGCAATTTGAACCAAATGGTCATAGTAGACCCTACGGGCGTCCTGATGGCCAACCAGGAATTTATCAGCAACCGGAAATAATAACCAAACCTCCCTCCAAAACCTCTAGGCCAGATCAGTCAGATTTCATCCTATTTGGAGAAGGACACATGCAACCTGGTCCCGGCCAAGTAATTAGTGTAAATGCCGAACCCGATTGGAGCATAAATCATAATCGTTCAAAAACCCAGTCCCTAGGCAGACCGAATTTAGAGAAACCGTTACCAAAACCAACCCCAACTTACATTGGTATCTCCCGACCTGAAATTGGTTCCGGAGTTCGAATTCATCCAGATTATCCGCATATTATAACGAAACCAAAAATACGAGTTCCGGGACCAATTACAATTTCATCGGGTTCATCAAAGCCGGTTGATAATACACACAAGCGTCCTCAATTTTCTTTACCTATTGAAGCAATCGGCGATGAGGAAGATAGTAAAACGCAGACTGAACGACCTCCTAGTTCACTTGTAAAGAAACCGAGTAAAGAACCAACTGACGAAACTTTAGAAACTGCTTTTCAGACAAATTTCGCTAGTAGTGATTCCAAAGAGGATGCTAAAGACACTTCTAGTGATGGCTCGCAAAGAAAAGGAATACCCACAACCATGAAGCCTAAAGTACCGTCTCAGAATATGATGCCTCCACCTCGAACTTCTTCGAGAAAACCCACGGACCAGAAGACGGATAATCAAGAAGGAGTAAAGACATCTCTAAAAAGTACCGAAGTTGTTGGACTATCTCCACCACCTGTGGATATTACGACAACAAATCGACCAGCTGATTCGAAAATTACCACACTGAACGAATCTGGTTTGAGACCACCACCATTGTTTATTCCGTTGAAGGATTCTGTCAGCAAAGCGGGAACAATTTCATCTCCTAGTAACAAAATGGTTCCACCTAGTCCAAGACCCACTCACATCCGACCATTCTTGGCAGATATATTATCAGAAGACATGGTACCACCACCACCTATCAAAACTTCCAAACCTATCGAAATCGCTACTGTCAGACCAGTTGTGGCCGTTTCGGGATCTATCCAAATTGCTTCAGCCGTAGCGACATCGCACATACCAGTTATTCAGGATGTTGAGTCAAAAATACCGATAATTCATGGTACGGTTGATTTACCAGTCGTTGTAGACGTTCCAGAGATTCTCAGACCGGTGGAAACTAAAAAGGCGGAACATGTCAGCATTTACACAGCTCGACCTTTCGAAACCAAACAAACAACAAAGTTCGTATAGAATAAAAAAATTTTTGTGGTATTTTCATTACTGACTTAATTGACTTTCTTAATTTTCAGGATATCTATTCAACCGTCAGTTGTTTTGACAACTAATCTCGTAATACCAACAGCGACAGTTCAGGTTGAGGCGAGTAAATCACCAGTTACAGAATCCTCCACAACTTCAACTGTAATTGTCTCACGAAAACATAGCAAACGACCTGATCATCCAGTATTCTTGGAACCCAGTATGGACAATATTTTACCCTCTACGACGAAACTTGAATCAACCGAAACTCTCTCTTATCCTGTAAAGCCGGAACATAAGGAGAGGCGACCTACTAGCATTCATAGAGAATCAGTAACCAAGATTCGAAAACCCTTCAGACCTCATCTTACAAGGCACCATATAAGAAACAATACTGACAACCGAGTTGTATACAGTATCGCAACAAAGGTCGAGAGTTCTGTCAGGAAAGCAACACCTACCATTATAAAACCAAAGGACGTACCACAATTCATGAAAGGGGAAAGTATTGAAATTATCAAGGAAATTATTGGCACTGTTGAAGAACACGAAGTTATGGATAATAGATCTAATTCGAATAAAGAAATGAAACCAAAAGAGGTAATTATATAGTTTTTAGAAGATATTCATTAGATTTATTCAATTCGTTATAATTAATTCTTTTCTCTTGCGATCAATCAGTAATTCATTTTCATTCTCTAACTTTAGTTCACAAAGTTCAAGACCCTTACCATTACCAGAACTCAAACATCAGTTCTGGGTTCACCTCCTACTACTAGAACGCTTTTGCTCACTCATACCATGACATCAACATCTGTCGAAACCATAACAGAAACTCTCATTAGTCCTACGAATGTTATTTCAACAATAACTTCTACTATTCTTCAGTCTATTCCGGCATCTTATGAAAATGAGGCCAGCGATGATTCGATTGACTCTATTTTCGTTGTTATGAGTGATCAGAAACCACCTGAACCAGGAGCTGAAGAGGTAATCAATTTTCCTAACTTTAAGGGCAAATTGTACTTTGAAGGACTAAAAATAGTAATTCTTTAAGATTTTTTTTTCATACTGGAAAAATATAATTTCAATTTTTTGGGATATTTTTAATAAGGATTTTTTTGACAAGAAATTTTTAAAAGTACTCGAGTTAAGATGAATTATTAATGGCGGTGCACATCATGACTTCCAAACGGTGGGAAAGATGGAGATCGCAAATACAAAAAACGTATCAAGAGACTTCTTGAAGTATCCGAAAGAGAGGAATTAAGAGTAGACCTGGGATGTGCTCGCTTAATTACACTCTCAATCGTGAGAGTGAGTATTTAGTGACTCACTTACACTTCCCTTTACACTTTCACTTTTTTCGAAAGTAAATTTAATTTTCACTTACAATTTAAGTTAGGTACATTTTTCCAAAATCAAATTTAAATTTCACTTAGACTCTCACTTTTACTTAAACTTTCACTTGTTGCAAAACTAAATTTAATTTTCACTTACACTCACGCTTTCACTTACACTTCTCCAAAAATTTTGATTTGATTTTGACTTACAGTCTAACTAGCATTTTCACTTTTTCCAAAATTACCAAAATTACTTTTTAAATGGACTGGTATGGTACCCACCTAAGTTGTTTCTGGAATGTTGCTGAACAACAACCTGAAGAACAGAATATTCTATTGTAACATTAAAGTAGTAGCAGGTCCACCCGTACGCTATCAGACAATCGAAAGTAGCATAAAAAGGCGTTTAAATTAAATTTCTATCAATTCTCTTATTTTCTATGGACTGGTATCCACCTAGATTGCTGCTGGAGTGTTGATGAATAGCATCCTGAAGATAGAATATTTTGTTGCAACTTTAAAGTAGTAGCACCTCCACCCGTACGCTATCAGACAATTATAATTAGCTTAAAAAGACGTTTAAATTAAATTACTATCAATTCTATTTTTTATGGGCTGTTATCTATCTAGATTGTTGCTGAACAACATGCAGAAGAATAGATAGCACTTCCACCCGTACGCTATCAGACTATAACAGATCTTTTATTAATATTGAATTAACTTGTATCGACCGTTTAATGATACACAACACAAAATAATAAATTATCAAAGAGGAAATTCCGCTTCAGACCCAAAAACCGACGGATACAAACGACGGCGAGACAAGACACGATGAAACTTAGACACAATGACACCAACGGCGACTCTTATAAAAACAAATCCAACGACACAAACAATTAATGAATAAATAAACGAATGAAACACAAAAAACAATTGGCTCATTTATTAATCCAACAACTCAATATACTATACAAAACTCAATACACGAAAAACCCTGAAGTTTCCAAAGGTGGAAACCCCGAGTAAAACTCTGCCCTACTAATTACATGGCCCATGAGCTACTGAAGAATGAATTTCACGTTGACCGGCTTCTTTTGCATCCTTTCCTAATTTTGATAAGGGCCCACATATGGCCCTCTCACTCTCTCCAATGGACAGCGACAACCTGTAAAGAAAACTCGGGAGGGACCGCGGAGATTCGTGACTTTACGCAACCTCGCATGCGCAATTCATTTTCACAGAGATTTTCACAGAGAATAAATCCCTTGACCAAATGAAATTTATATATTCCCAACAATAGGAACGAAATGCTTCGTTACAAGACAATCGAAAGTAGCAAAAAAAGGCTTTCAAGGCAACATTTCCCAGGTGGAAAAGTTAACGTTAGCTAATGCTACTAACGTTAGACTAACGTTAGTCTAACGACATTTTTTATCACTAATATCAGATTATAACGTTAGTTAACATTAGTCTAACGTTAACTTTTCCACCTGTGTTTTAACACTAATACAGTGCTAAAACGGTATTGTCTAACTTTTCGATTTTGTCTTAATTCCTCTGACCAAAATAATTGTTGGTACATCCTCTCGTCTACTTTTTTTGTAGCTGCGTGCTTCTCCTTGACCTCCGGTATGAGCGATGATATGCTTTTCAGCCTATTCTTGATTGTCATATTGAAGTTTTTATGGACATCACATAACTTCAGCATTTTGCTGACCTCTTCCTCCATTCTTCGATTTCAAGCTGCTTCCTCCTCTCGCAGCCTTCGTCTCAATCTCTATTGCAGCAAGCAATGCCATTAGCAGAAGAATTACTGAAGACAGAAAAGCAGATGGCTTGACTCGATATAAAACACAAATTATAACAGAAAATATTAAATCTTGGGGTATACATTGGTAAATCCTAAATTAATGATATAAAATAATACTAAGCTACTACCAGGAACAAAACCAAATGTATTATTAGAATTACAAAAGATCATTAATTACGTGAACTAACAAATATCAACTTCTTGTCGAACTCATTTATAATATTTAGACAATTTCCGATTCGTCGATATAAAAGTGAAAATATGATCAATGGTCAACTATTTTTTCAATATTGCACGAAATATAAAGTTCCAATTTAGAAAAGATCAGAGAAATTTTCGATCTAAATCAAACCACGGTGGAACAAAGTGTAAAGCATTCATCGGCGTTTTTTAGTAATGCGTCAATTGATCAAAATATTGGCACTTCTATGAATGCAAGGTCGCAGGGGGAACTATTTATCTTACAATCCTTACCCTTATTGTAAGATATTTGATAGAATGATTTTTAAAGTAACGTCAAAATAATTTTCTTGTTTCAAAACATTTTTTTACGAATCTAATCATATTAATTGTATGAACAGGTGGAAGCTGAATATGGAGAAGAAATATCGAGGGATGAACAAGATCCAGCTGGTAATGAAATTCATCGAGTTCTAGCTGGAGGAATCTTGGGCGCACCAGTAATTCCTCTTCATCCAGTAGTCAATCAATGTGTTCCTGAATGCAGAGCTTTTAAAGCTGAAATGTGCGCCGAATTTAGTGGCGAAATGCGATGTGTCTGCAGACCGGGTTTTGCCAGAATGTTCCCTGATCGACCCTGTAAACGTAAGTTTGCGACTTAGGAAATTTTGATTTGAAATAAAATTATGACGCATGTAATATTTTGCTTCTAAATTCTTTCAGCTACATACACTTACACCCTTCGTGTTGGTTTGGATCGTATCGGTCGCGACAACGTCCTCTACACGGATAATATGAATGATACCACATCTCATGAGTACAGGAGATTAGCGCCTAACGTAAAGGAAGCTTTGGACAGAACTTTAATGCAAAGTGATCTGCGGGATCTCTATCAAGGCGTTAAAATTGCTGGCTTTGTTCCCGAACCAGTTCAAGTCAAATTCCATGTCTACTTATTTGACAATGCGAATGGAACTCACTTGAAAGAAATCATCCGGAAATATCTGGTTAACAGTAATTACAGTCTAGGTGGAACTGAAGTCTACGCTTCTCGAAATCTTAGTCTGGTGAGTAGGGTTTCACTTTAGTTCTTCTTTCCCCTTTCTGGGAAAATTTAAAATTATTGACCCACTCCTGTTTAGGTTGTTGCGGAAGATTTCGATGAATGTACAACAGTAGAGGACGGATGGTCACATCATGACTGTTCAATGAATGCTGTGTGTTTCAATCTTCCAGGGTCTTATCAATGTTCATGTAAGGAAGGCTGGGCTGATTTGTCTGAAAATCCGGCTTATCCTGGAAGATTATGTTCTCAAGCTCCATTAGGATGTTCCGCTTGTAACAATAAAGGACACTGTGTTTTAAATTCTCATGGTCACAATACCTGTGAATGCTTCCCCTGGCATAGCGGTCAGAAGTGTCAGATTAATCTTAAAGTGCTGCTGATCGCATTGGTTACAACGGGAGCAGTCCTTTTAGGACTATTGGCAGTTTGCGTTAGTTTGGCGTGTTTCCGTCATCCTGGAAGAAGGCGTTCCTCTGGTGATAGAAGAGCAATGATCCCAGGAGCAGGAACGGGAGGAGACACAAGTAGCGAAGGCAGTGTTGCAGAATTGGCCATTCCTCATCATGTTCCCCATGTTTTGCCACCACCACCACAAATGTTGGCTCCGGCACCTCCAGTCAAACGACCTATTAGAAAACCCAGCAACAGGCTGCGCCATCATGCCAGAAAAGTTATGCCTGTAGTTCCTCCAAGTAAGTTTTAGTCAACAACGTTATCAGCAATATTGTGGCCAATGTCCTTTTGTTGACAATTATCTACCACAACGAAATTTCTAACGCCACTTATGTTTGTTTTTCAGTAGCGATCGTCAACACGGAGCAACGTGATCGTTCCTTAACCGTAATGATCCCTCGTGCAAAATACCGATCAGCACCCCAATCAACTCAGCCAACCCACAAATCTGCTATTAAAAGCACATTTTCCGTGGAGGAACACAAGTTAATTGATTACTTGGAAGGAGGAATCCATCCAGGAATACGAAAACCAACTCCCATTATCAATAACGATTGCAAAGAGGCGGAAATACGAGTAAAGAAATCTCCAATATCTCCAACTGGAGCTCTTGTTAGTGCTGGTTTTCAAGTAAGATGAATTGATGTACTAAAAAATGTTAGTTTAGTTTTTTGATCCAGTGGTAACAATCTATTTCCTTTATAGGTTTCTGCCACAGTAACAAGAACAGTGGACGCTGAGTCGGCATTGGCTCGATCTTGTGGTGAAACTACCGTTGAGCCTGCGACAAAAATTTTGCGCTCCAATGACTTCCAAGGTGATATTGAATCAAGCCTTGCTCGCTCTTGCACCGAAACGACGATTCAAACATCAGCGAATCAACTTCTCCGCTTAGACATGCTAGACACTGGTTCTACGTTAGCAAGGTCTTGTGGAGAGACGACGATTTTGCCATCAACAAAGATAGCCAACTCTGATCGTAAAGATAACAGAGATGCTCGGGACAGTACTAGTGAGGGTCATACGATGGCTGAACGTGACCTCGGCAGTACGTTGAGACTTCCGGCTCAACATGCGCAACTGTACAATTCCGATAGGGTATGATTAAGGACTTATTCTCTAAATTATTTAGCTTTACCTCAATGTCGATTGGACTTTTCCATTAAAGCTTCTATGGAACAGCTGACTCGACTTTGGCACCCTCTTAATTGAGGAGCTAGATTCTATAACCGGCTTTTCGCTTGGACCGCAAGCGCTAATACCAGTCGGGTGGCAGTGAGCCCCTCTGGGAACTCGACTTGTATTATTAGCCCTTGCGGTCCGAGCGAAGAGCCGGTTCTAGAATCCAGCTCCTCAATTGACAAAACTCATTAAATGTATGACAAAATACATAGGGAGTTATCAAGATACTTCAGAATACCAGTGAGCATTCAAATATTTGTGTTTTACAACGATTATGTCCGTTAGAAGGATGTACATTTACATCCTTTTAGCGGACATAATGAAGACATTCCTAGATCTCCATATTGCTTTTGAAATCAATTAATGTTTCCTTAAGGGTAATCTTGAAGGAATTTTTTTATAAATGATTTACCTCTTGATTGTGCTGGGTTTTTTTTAGAAGTAAGTTTGAATATTCTTAAGGACAGTCTTAAAGATTTTAGTAGAAATCTTGACACTTTATTTAGATTTCTAGTTCTTTTAGCTTTTCTAGAAGTCCATTTGGAAATTTTTAAAGACAGTCCTAAAGAATTCAGTAGAAGTCTTTTCGCTCTTTCCATGTATCTTGTTCTTCTAGGTTTTTCTAAAAGTTCTTTTGCAATTCTTAAAAGACAGTCTTAATGATTACAGTAGCAATCATTTTCTACTCATTTTGCATCATACTATACCTTATGATCCCTTTTTAGGATGATATATTGCAATTTAAGTAGGACAGCGCCGTTTGAAAAAAGTATAGGCCATGTCCATGCTATTTTTGGTGGAACTTGTTTTCCGTGTACATATAAAAATTCTTGACGACATTCCTAAAGTTTTCCTAAGTTTTTCAAGAAGTAAATTTGAAACTCCTTAAGAACAGTCTCAAAATTTGCAGTAGAAGTTTAGCAGTCTTTCTTGGGACTGCATTGATTTTATGTTTTTATAGAAGCCCTTTTGCGATTCCCCTAGGTCAGTTTTGAAGAATCTTGCAAAAGTTTTTGCAACACTTACTGCCTCCATTTCTTCTTAGTTTTTCAGGAATCATCTATACGTTCATTTGGGTTTTTTAGGGACAGAAAGAAGATTAGGGAAAATCTTGAAGATTTCTGTAAAACTCATAATAATTTCCAAAGAATTAAATTAATTAATTAAAGAATTCAGTAGAAGTCTTGTCTCTCTTTCTGGGTCCCTCGTCCTTCTAGGTTTATTTTAAAGTTCTTTTGTGATTCTTTAAAGTCAGTCTTAATGATTGTAGGAGAAATCTTTTCCTATTCATTTTGCATTTCCATTTCTTCTAGGTTTTTTTAGAAGATTAAATAAAATTTAAATTATAATTTTCTTTTTCCAGGCGAATAGCGACAGGGAATCGAATTTCGACTCCTTGTAGTCGTTTTCAATGAGCTCAAAAGTAGGAAAAGGAAGGAGAGGAGGTGCCATGGATTTAACTGACACGACATCCATCAAATCTACCAACTCTACTGTCGCGTCTCCATATTTACCTATAAAAATCGACGGCGAATTTGAGCACAGCGGCAGGCCGCTTTTGGTTTATTGAAATTCGTCGTTGTCAGTAGCAGAAAAACTACCAAATTCTGCTTCAACAATTCACAATTGTACATCGACTTTGAGCGTTATTTTTAAAAAAATCACCCTTTCCCTTCTCTCTCTCTAAAAAACGCACAAAGTCAATGAACAATTCATTCGTTTGGATCGTTTACTCTCCCAATTTTTTTTAACACATCAAAAGAAAAACAATGTTCCTCTTCCGGAGTACATTCAATCCAACGAAAAACGCTTTCTAATTGCGTCCATTCAACGTGCCAAAATATAGCCAATGATAAAAAAAAATCTTCGAAAATCGTAATTCTCAATTCCTAATAAATCGACACCGTATTTATATCTAAATATACTCTAATACGCTACGTTTTTTAATATCAAAAAACAAAAATTACTTCCAATTTTAGTACCTGGTAAATCTTTTACAGCGACTCATAGCACTTGACAAGTGAAGAATTTATCATTCATGATATTGGACGGGATTAACGATAAATATTTTGAATTTGGAAAAAAAGACGTATTATATTGTATGATTTATTATTATTATTTGTTGTTGTTGTTTGTTTACATGTTTAGTCTATTTTGTACGATTTTTAAGTCAGCTAGTTCGACTTCGTTTTGTGTGTGTAAAAAAATTTGTTTATTATAAGTTATAAATTGTAAAATTAATTTTAAAAAAAGAGTGTAAATGTTCAATTGGAAAAAATGTTATATATTTCAACTGTTTCTTTTTTTTTTAAAAAAAAGGGAAAGTAAAAACGAAGTCGAATCGAAAAATTAGATTCGAGAGGGAGAGCAGAGAAGAATGCGTTGTGCATGGTGGAATAACTATAGCTTTATATACATATTTTTTTTGTGTATCTTAAGAAACATTTATAATAACAAAAAAACGAATAGGTGTTATTAATGAAAAAAAATTCTCTCCCTGGCTAAATTTTATTTTCTGTAATAACCAAGTGCTCGACTCGCTTCGATCATTGAATGACGTTGGCGATATTTCGCTTGTGTCGCAAAAACGTATTTACATGTACCCTTATTTTTATATGTTTAATTTTAAACAAAAATTTTGTATCTATTAAAAATCTCTGTTGTACATAACGCGCTTCTGAAACTTCTTCTTAGTTTTACGTCTATATATATAAATATATTTTAAATATAATATTTTAGATTATTTTTGTATACATTTCGAGTATTCGATAGTGCCTGTGTACTTATGTATGTTTAATAAAAAAAAGTAATAATAATAATTTGTTTTTTTTCCAAAATCCTTGAAAATACTTTGCTTGTTTTTGCTGCTAGCAGCTTGCATGGCTGCTAATCGGGTTGCAGTCAATTTGCTTTCGTTCCATCCCTAGAGATGGCGCTCTGTGCTCCTCTAAATGAAGCTAGCTTTCTAGCTGTTCATTTTAACATTTTCGAACCATTTGGAACAAAAATCGAAATTTCTTCACATAACCAAAAATATGGAATTTGTTTCGAACCAGAAGGAACAAAATTGTAAAATAAAAAACAATTCGTATACATCAGAAATCTGAGAATTTTTACGTGTTATCTTCAATTTTTGACCCCTAAGTTTAAATCCCTCTATTCTCCCCTCCATTGAACTTGGAAGATCCCCCACCAGAGTCAATTGTCAGCATCGCAAAGTTGCACCTCGAGGAGAGCATTCAACAGGTGAATATATAAGGGGTCACAGGAGAGTTTGCTTCACGTGTGCTACAGGATCATTCTCCCCCACCACCACTGAAACTTGTATTGCCCCCACCACCTATTTTCTCAGTCGTCCTCCTACGAAACCTCGACATTGCGGTTTTACCAAGTTGGTGTGCGAAATTTCTCCTGGCGTGAGTGAGCAACTCCTGGCCACGCCTACTTCAAGGACGATGTGGAGGGGGAAAATTGCAACGTGGGGGCTGAAGGAGAAGAGCGGCCGTGAAATTAAAACATGACGAGGGGTCTAGATTGAGATGCGAGCACAAGAGCGTGAGGGGGAGGGGGCGACGACGGTCGGAAAGGGTGCAAGGGAATTTATACGTGTATGGGAGTGGAGAGAAGAGAGAAAGAAAGAGAGATATAGCAGGGACGGATTTGCACAACTTCGATCCCGTGGATTATTTACAGTCATTATTTTAATGATTTAATGATAGATGTTTCTTTACAATGTTATCGAAATGATAGAATTTTGTTTTTATTTGTTGCAAAAATTGTTTTTGGCCCTTATGTTGAATTTACAATTTGGTGAAAGCGGTGGGAATGTCTTCTTGATAGAATTTTACTATCATTTTAATTTTCATTGTTACAATTGTATTTGTCCTAAATTTTGTAGCATTTGCCAATTTGGTGACAGCGGTGGAAATATTTGTGACAAAAGATGATAGCATTTTGCTTTCATTTTTTACAATTGTTTTTATCCCGAATTTTGCAGAAATTATCAAATTGGTGACAGCGGTGGGAACATTTTCATAACGGTATTCTGTTTCCATTTGTTACAATTTGTTTTTGTTTCGAATTTTCTAAAATTTTTAAAATTGGTGACAGCGGTGGGATTATCTTATTGACAAGATATTAGCATTGTTCTTTCATTTGTTACAAATGTTTCTGTCCAGAATTTTGTAGACTTTGAAAACTTTGGTGAAAGCGACGGAAAGCGAACATCTTCATGATGAAATATTATTTTCATTTGTTACATTTGTTTTTGTTATGCATTTTTTAGAACTTGCCAATTTGGTGACAGCGGTGGGAATATTGATAGCATTTTGCTTTAATCTCTCACAATTGTCTTTGTCGCTAATTTTGTAGAATTTTACAATTGTTGTGATAGTGGTGGGAACATTTTCATGATAAAATGTTGTTTTAATTTGTTACGTATGTTTTTATCACGAATTATCCAAAATTTTTTATTTGTTACATTTGTTTTTGTCCGGAATTTTCTAAAGTTTTTCAATTTGGTGATAGATAGAAGTTTCTTATCATTTTTTACAATTATTAATTTTGTCCCAATTTTTGTAAAATTTAACAATTCGATGACAGAGGTGGGAACATCTTCTACAGAAGATGGTGGAATTTTCATTTCATTTGCTGCAATGGTTACATTTTCATTTCTCCCAAATTTTGTCGCATTTGACAATTTGGCGACAGCGGTGGGAACATGATGTTTGAAACTAAGAAAAAATAGAAGAAAACAGTAATAATTTATATTTTTTATTACTTTCGTTATTAAACCAAAATGTTAATTCGAAAATCCCACCGCTGTCACCAGTAAAATGTCAATTTTAATGTCACCAAAAAGTTTAGATATCGAAAATTCTCAATGAAAAAATCACTTGGATGAGATTGTGTCTCGAATTAAGTATCTCGTTTCCACGACTAAACATTTGGAAATTTATTCGAAAAATCGAATTCAAAGTGTGGGAATAGTAGTAAATATTTTCTTTTATTACCGTTGTGAAGAACGTGCCTAACCAATGTATTGGGTGCTTAGCGGACACATAAAATTTCACAGCTTGTATTCATCGACTTCGAATGAACAATAAAAACTGATTTTCGCTACAAAATGATATCTATGAACATAAATCTGTTTTAATTGTAAATCAAGAAAATCATAATAAAGAATTTAACGTCTCTTGTTTATTTCAAAATTGATGATAGTGAAAATGGGGAAAAAATTAATTTATCTAAAATACATGTGTGACACGGGGCTGCATTTTCTCTTTTCTAAAATTCGTAAGAAAACTAACACAGGAAATACTTCCCCTACAAACTGGTCCTGACTGCATTCCTTACGTAACAATAGACAAGCATCCTGACTTTCCCTAAAAACAGGTACCAAAAGGACAGATTCACTTTGACTTGCATACGTGCAGCACGGTTTTCTCCGCTTCGTAAAAACAAGTGTATTTTTAAACTCGCTCTTAAATAAATAAAAATATCGTTATTTTAATTATTTACTTAATTATTAATTTTCCCGTCACAAAATTGGCGATCCTGCCAGGATAGTTCGACACGATTACGATCAAAATCGACTATCTTAGTGCGAACCAGTGAAAAAAAAAGAGAAAGTTTTGTGAAAAAATTATTATTGTGGAAAGTGGAAAATTATTTTTGTGAAAAAAAATATATATATTTTTTTGTGAGAAATTATTATTGTGAAAAATTATTTTTTGTGAAAAAAAATAATTGTGACGGATTATACGGTGAAATTTTCACTGGAAATCACCGGAAAACACGAACTCGGGCCGAATTAAGTAAGTTCGACAGTGATTCCGTGGGTATAAGTCCTAGAAAGGGTGTGACGTCACCCAACCAAGTTGGCAACGAGGGATAATATTCTTACGAGGATACACACAACTCAGCCGCTCAACATTTCAACTGGATAGTATTCTTACGAGGATACACACAATTCAGCTGCTCAACGTTTCAACTTGAGAATATTTTATTTGTCATCAAACTAGTAAGCAAATAATATTTTTTTCTGAAAAATAATACAATTACGTATGATTTGCGACTTTTTACTACGCGTGAAAGACGCAACATTTTATGAAAATTTTCACTATATACATGTTTTGTGACTCTGTAACTACGCGTTAAAGACACAATAACTTATAAAATTTATCTATTAAATTTACGAAAAAATTGCAAAATTAGGTAAACATTTTTATTTTTTAGTGTTAAAAAAAAGCATTGTTTTTTTATGAACATTTTTAAAATTAGATAGACGTTTTATTTGTTGTAAAAAGAAAGCATTCTTTATTTTTATTGATATTACAACTCTTTACAAATTACTAATAATATTCAACGCTGGCTTTCAAGTCATATCTCAGACATTTAGTTGGTTACGAATCTACTCATATTCAGTGTTTAGAATCCAGTCAAATTGTCCAGAATATCCCTGAACCTCCCGAAACAAAAATGGCAAACCCTTTAAATTTAGAAACACTCCTTAGCAGCCTTAAAGATTCGGTCGAGCAAATGTCTGCAAAAATTTCATCAATAGAAGGTTGTCAAAATACATTAAATTCCAATATAATGCTTCTTAACGCTGAAAACGGAAAACGGGTAAACGAAATTAAACTTATAGCTCAACAAAATAATCTTTTATATACTGAAGATGAAGAAACAGAAACCGAAAATGAAGTTCCAGGAAATAGACAAGAAAGTGAGAACACAATAGACGAAAAAAGGGACCCCATGCATCGAGTACCAAACGGTGGTCCCCTTTCAACTCAGACAAACGCGATTTCTAGTACATTATTACCCGCCAAGGACATTATTCGTACGGTAGAAATTTTGAATGGTCAAGACGATATCGGAGTTCAAGATTTTATTCATAGCGTTAAAAAAGCAAAACAACGTTGTAGTCAACCGGAATTACTTTTAGATTTTATAATAACCGAGAAAATTGTCGGAAATGCTAAACGCGCTATCCGATACATTCCCATTAACACATTCGACGATTTATTTACCGCGTTACGACAAAATATGGACCTCGGATTATCAGTTGAACTTTGCCGCGCAAAATTAGACAATTGCCGACAAGGAAGCGACAACGTACAAACGTATAATGTGCGATTTCGACAAGCCCTAAACGAGTTAAATTATGCGGTACAAGCAGAACACTCAAATCCGACAGCTCGAAGAATAGCCTTGCAGATAGAAGAATCTTCCGCGATAAAAAAGTATGTTATGAATCTAAGAGATGATATCACATTTTTAATGTGGACCCTACAACCGAATAATATAGGAAAAGCTCAGCAACAAGCATTAGAAATTGAGACGCGACTACGAGAAAAACATCGATTACGCTCAAATGCAATTCCAAGGCAACCTTTGCGTGTGACAAACCCTTCTACATCTCACCACACAACAAATCCTAAACCCTCTTTTAATTCTACTAACAATGCTAATCCGAATCGTCCTTCTAATGTACAATGTAATTTTTGTAAGAAAAATGGACACGTTGAAAGTCAATGTTTTCAAAAAAGAAATCAATCAAATTTTCATCTGGATTCCCAACTAAAACGCCCACCGAATCGAGTGCACCACACCGTCGAGATAAGCTCAACGGAGGAGCAAAACGACGAGATACAAACACCATGCGAAATGACGGAACAATTGATAGAATCACGCGAATATCAGGACGATTACAATCTGTCCTCGTTCAACCAACCGGATTCAAACACTCCCTGCGATTACTTGTGGACTCTGGATCATCAATAAATTTTATAAAAAATTCTTTAGTACCACCGTCGATGCCTAGAGAAGCATGTAAAAAGGAATTCCAAATGGGAAATTGGAAACCAACGTCCGAACAAAAGATCGTGATAGAATATTTGGATAAACCCCACACTTTCTTTATCGTCGATGATAATTTTCCCTTACCGGAAGATGGTATACTAGGTTTACCATTTATGCAACAATATGATTACAGCCTAACAAACGTGAACTTAAAACTAAATAATAAAAAACATCCACTCGTGGATGACGGATTTATTGTACCACCAAACCAAATAAAGCTAATTAAAATCCCAGTTTTTGAAAAAAAGGGTAATATCGCGATCTTTGATAATCCACACGTTCCCGATTCTATCTATACAATATGCGATAGAACAATTACTGTTCCTATTTGCAACGATTCGGCACAATTTAAACACATTAATCCCAACGAATTAGGATATCAACCTTTTAAATTCAGTACCGAAACTGAAGAATTACAATCAATAACACACGGTGAATTGGCAGAACGCTTGCAACTCTTAAACGAGAACACCCGATTGGATCATATTGAATCAGATTTTAAAGATATTATCCAAAAAATAGTACAATCATATCACGACATATTCAGATTGCCCGGAGATCCTCTTCCAGGAACACACCTTGCTTCTCACAAAATAATATTAAAAGAAGATAAAATAATTAATAATCGGTCCTACAAACCTCCAGAGTGTCATAAACAAGAACTCACTAGTCAGGTTAAAGACCTATTAAAGCAATTCATCATCAGGCATTCCGATTCTCCCTTCAACGCCCCAGTGTGGATAGTCCCTAAAAAAGCTGATGCCTCTGGACAGAAAAAATGGAGAGTTGTCATAGATTTCCGAAAAATTAATGAAATTACCGATCAGGATTCTTATCCACTTCCGGTTATAGAAGACATCCTTGACACGCTCGGGAAAGCAAAATTCTTCTCCGCTTTTGACCTCAGTGCTGGATTTCACCAAATACCTATGGAAGAAAATTCAAAAAAATTCACAGCTTTTTCCACACCCGAAGGACACTTCGAGTTTGAACGCATGCCCTTTGGACTAAAAAATGCTCCTGCCACATTCCAGAGGATGATCAACAACGCCTTAAAAGGATTGATAAACAAAATTTGTGTTGTTTATCTCGACGACATCGTAGTTTTCGGATCCACCATAGAAGAACACAACAAAAATTTGGTAACAGTTTTCGAGAGATTACGCCAAACTGGCCTTAAGCTCCAGCCTGATAAGTGTGAATATTTAAGACCCGAGTTAGAATATTTAGGTCATGTTATAACTGCCGATGGAGTCAAACCCAATCCAAAGAAAATCGATGCTGTCTTAAATTTTCCAAAACCTAAAAGTGTTACTAACGTTAAATCATTTTTAGGACTTTCTGGATACTACCGTAAATTTATAAAATGTTATTCAACTATTGCTAAACCTCTTACCGAGTTAACAAAGCTTAACAACGATTTTGTTTGGACTCAAAATTGTCAAGATGCTTTTGACAGATTGAAAGCTGCTTTGTGCAGTGCGCCAGTTTTAAGATACCCCGACTTTGAAAAAGAATTCGTGCTCACAACCGACGCTTCAAATGTAGGACTAGGAGCCATTTTATCCCAAGAAGGTCATCCCTGTTATTACATATCGCGTACACTCAATGCACCCGAAGTAAATTATACTACTACTGAAAAGGAATTGTTAGCAATAGTATGGGCGACTAAAAGACTTAGGCAATACTTGCTAGGTAGAAAATTCAAAATCCTCACCGATCACCAAGCGTTAAAGTGGTTATTCAACGTAAAAGATCCATCATCCAGATTGATGAGATGGAGACTTAAAATGGAAGAATACGACTACGAAGTCGAATACAAGAAAGGTTCGGAAAATACTGCTGCCGACGCTTTATCCAGAGTTCAAGCACTACAAGAACTAAACGAAGAACAAAGTAGTACAGAAACTGAATTTGATTTAGAATCAGAGTTGCCTGATATTGAAGTCATCGAAGAAAAGCAAAATTCTGATTTAAATACACCAGTACCATCACCTGCCGGAAACGGACCAACTTTAGGAGTCTCGACACAAACTTTAACTCCGCTTATTGAAGAAAGCAAAGATGACGATATCCAAGATGTTTTCGACCCAACACCACCAATACCCGTAAACAATGGAATAATTCAAGAATTCTACAGATGGTCTGCTAATAAGACAGATACCCGTGAAATTGAAAAGCCGAATGCCATTGGAAAATTGTGGAGAAAAATCACAAAAGAGAGACAAATGATACAAATAATGTTATCCTTCCTCAATACTCTGACAAGGATTGGCTTAATTCACTGATTGACACCGCCGAATGGACCATATCAAAAAAATTGAGTATTCTTCGTTTACACTTCGACGATCCAACTATAACCTCCATTGAACGTATAAAACTTAAGAAATTGATAGCATTCATTAGTTTTAAATATCCACAACTAAAAATTCATAGTTGTTATAATTCCACTACAGAACTCACATTAAAAGAACGAGAACACATCATCAAAGAAAGCCACGGCTCATTGATGGCACAACATTTTGGCGAAAATAAATCCATACAAAGAGCAAGAGAATTAGGCATGTGGACCAACATGGAAAATGAAATTATAGATTTCATTAAAAAATGTCACGTGTGTCAAACCCATAAACTAAATCGAATCAAGAGACGATCGGAAGCAATCATCCCTGACACTCCAACGACACCAAATGATAAGATTGCAATGGATATTTTTGGTCCTCTACCCATTACCGCTCAAGGACATGAGTACATATTGTCTATTCAAGATATGTTAACTAAATATCTTGTATTAATTCCTTTAAAGAATACCCAGTCCGAAACCATTATTGAACATCTATTTGACCATTTTATTTACATTTTTGGCTCTCCTAAGCACATTTTAACTGACCAAGGTCAGAACTTAGTGTCGGAATTAATGCAAAACTTTGAAAATCTATTTCGGATTCAACATGTGAAGACGACTGCATTTCACCCTCAAAGTAATGGTGCTCTGGAAAGATCTCACTGCACTATTAAGGATTTGATAAGAACAGCAATGGCAGATCAACACACTGAATGGGACCAGACACTAAAATTTATTTGCATGGCTTATAATACCATGACACACGAAGGAACTGGATTCAGCCCTTTTAAACTCACATTTGGACGCGACGC